TAAATTTGTCTTAAATGACATTTTTAGGTGTATCAAAGGTAAATTATCATATTTCTATACATTTGTCACGTGCTTTACATATATACATAAAACAATTACTGTTTGAAATTAAAATTTAATACGTTTGTTACAGATGCATTATTAATGAATTTATAAGATCAGGAAAAGTTACACCCAAAGATAGCGAGTTTAAAACAGCATTGACCCATGCATTTAATCTGTCAAAAAATTGGAAATATCTTGGCGATGGAAATGGTGATGGTGGTGTTTGTCAGAAAAATTAAAGTTAATCTACAAAGCAAATTATTCAACATGATGCTCCTGAGAATTGAGAAATGAACTTTATTAATATTTTAATTTTTGTAAATAAAACTATAATATATAATTCTTATTCTAATTTAATATACATTTAACTGTATAAAACCAATTCCTAAGTTTTTTTTATACTTCTTTATTTATTTTTTTATCCATAATGAAAAATAGTGAGAGTGAAAACAGCGTAAAAATAATGTCTGTTTGTTTTCTCATTACCAAATTTGTGTTTGCCAATGTTATAATTTGTTTTTTTTGTATTTATTATTTGACAATTTAGATGGAAATAATGTTGCGTATAATGATCAGTCTGTATTTCCATTTGTACATATAAATTTAAAATATAAGAAGACCCATTATTCATGTTTTAATAACATTATATTTTTATTATTTTTTTTTTTCGCCACTTTATACTTGCTATATTTTTCTCTTCTTCGACTATTTCTAGTTATTGTGTATTATATTTTATTATTATGTATTATGCACACATATGTAAACCTGGGTTATGCCCGTAAATTATAATAAATAAATAAATAAAATATACAAAATTATTTTTATATTTTCATTCGGATTTTGATATGACTTTCTTATATTACTTTGATCCGTTTCCAGTATTTAACTGGATCCAATCTAGGTATTTAATCGGGTCAGATTCGAGTAATTAATCGGACCCATTTCGGATGGTCCCTAATTCGTTCCGGATCCGGTTTGCCTTACAAGGTCCGGAGTCGTGCCGGCGTTACATTTTCAATCCGATTCTGATCCATTCCTGACCGAAATTTCCACTCGTGTTGCGGCGATTTTCGACCCTTTCGGGCTAATAGGTCCCATTATAATCAGACTAAAAATCATAATGCTAAAAGGCGAATGGGACGAACTAGTACCTTCTGAATTTTAGACCTATTGGAAGGAATATCGCGGTTCGTTTGAAGTGATTAACTGTTTGTCGATCGATTGGTTTCTTTTTGTTTCGGTAGAAATAATTGATACTCGATTATATTACATTTTTTACAAGTGATAACAAGTGATTATAATACGCTATTTTTGTTCAAAGTTTTTTAATTCCTTTCCGTGAATGTTGGTCGTGGCCGTTGTAGTACATATCTGTTTTTTTGTGCTCTATCTGCGGTATTGTTTTCCAACTATTTCGCTGAAGGTTGGCTTTACAAAAAATAATTAAAATTCGTGATTCGTATTTTTTGTTTTGGCTTATCAATCGTCTCTTGAGAGCTTCGCCCAAGGTGGATTTATCAGGTGTTAACACTCTGCCGATTTGCAGATTGAAAAAAACGCACCAGTTGAATTCTCCGCTAGATGGCGTTGGATACCCGATAAAGTCTCAAAATACACGAGCTTTTGTTTTGAAAATCATCCCTTTGCGCGCTAATAATGCTGCACACGTTGTTCAATTAAAAATTTTTGTAGACTTAGACTTAGTTACGTTTTTTAACCAAAATTCCCAACAAATGTTTTGTACCCGGGTGCAATACTGGATTGCCCAATGATATTAAATCATACAAAAATGAAAATAAAAAATATCCTTCTATGTCTCATCCTTCGCAGGTATTATGCTAACTCAAATATTTTGTTAACTCGATAATGATTTAGGATGCTTCGGGTTTAATTCTTATGACATGGTATTCGTACAGAACTTTATACTATCTAGTAGTTAGTTTTTAACAATATCCTGTATCTGTGTATTATTACTCTAATTATTATAATTGTAATTGTTATGTTATTTGTGTAAGTTTTAGTTAGATCATAAGTTAATGTTTTCTGTTACGCATATTGTGTGAAGCATTGTAATTGGATAATATCCGTATTAATAATAAAAAAAAAATAATTAAATATGCATACTTTACAGAAAAAATTGTGTATTAATCAACGTTCGTTTTGGTCTTTTGTCAGTAGCCGCCAGATAGGTCACGCCATTCCTGAATAAGTACGCTTGGATGCTGTCAAGGCTTCGGGCAATCAAGTAGCTACTTTGTTTGACTCTTACTTCTCATCTGTATATAAAGCGCCTAGGATTGTTTCAAATACCCTATTAGATAGGTTTACCTCAAGTCAATTTTCCTTCCTTTCGTCCTCTATCTCTATAACCTCGACGAGGTGAATGCTGCTCCTAGCTCGTTGGCTACCACTCGAGGTTCAGGGCCTGACGGAATTGCCCTATTCTTATATCGTTGTCGCGATATTCTTTGTTTACCAACCTACTTAATTTTTAATCAGAAGTTTAAAAACGGGTGATCCGACTGACGTTAGAAATTATCAACCCATTTCTGGTTTGCCCTTTTTAGGTAAAATATTTGAGTTAGTTGTTTTAAAAAAAACATTGACCGATCTCTTTTGTCAACCATTTCCACTGATTAACATGGTTTCTTTCCAGGTCCCAGGTTTATTTCTTTGTTTCATGCCGTGTTCTACTTTTTGCTGACCATGCCAAGATTTTTTATGCAATTTAACTACATTTTAGGGCAGGATGCCTTATGCTACAAGCTGTTTTAGATAAATTTTCAATCTGGTGTAATTCGTTAGGTATTATCCCTGAATAACGACAAATGTAAAATCATGTCCTATTACCATATGCGGGCGATGTTGACATTTAACTATTCTCTAAACGGGATGCCTGTCGTACGAGTTGGCCAAGTAAAAGATCTTGAACTTCTTTATGTCCCTTCCCTAGTTTTGCGATCCCATACAGATTTTGTTAGGTATCAGTAGAGGGTTACAAGCTCTTGGGTTTATTAGGAGACATTCGTCAGATTTTAATTATTCCGGATTCCTGTCTGCTCTTTATAGCTCTATAGCTCGTTCTAACTTAGAGTATGGCGCTGTCATTTGGGCGCCATATACTGCATGTGACAGACAAAGAATTAATCGTGTGCAGAATAGATTTTTGAGTTTTGTTGGTTACTGCCTAAAAATCTTACACCCACCTCATGACTACAGCCCCATTAATAACGTTCTTAGACTACAATCACTAGAACAACGGCGCAATGTCCTCAGCTCTCGCTTTATTTTGGGTTTGTTAGAAGGCCGAATTGACGCCCCTCGCCTTTTGCAACAGCTGAGTATTCGCGTCCCGACCAACACCAGGCTCAAACATTTTTTTTTACCTTCCAATTACCAGATCCAATTTTACCAAAAATGCACCTCTAAATCGCATGATGGAAATTTATAATAACACAATTATAAAAAGCCGTTTGGCGCATATTACTAAAATAAAATATGGCTCTTCAGATGCGTCAGTGGAAGCATACGGTGCTTGTTTATACGTACGAACAGTAAATATGGCCACATAGATTGCTGTTCGATTGTTATGTGCCAAGTCACGCGTCGCCACGCTAAAGATAATTACTATTCCACGTTTAGAGCTCTTAGCGGCACTACTTCTTACCCGGTTGTTTTCGAACTATGCTTCAATATTAGGAGTAACAACTTTGCGAATGAATCGCAAGACAAGTGCACGAGGAAATAGTAGAGACTACTAGGTGTTAAATGAACGAACTCTCGAACTTCAACCTTGTAGACGGACAGCGACAACCGAGTACTCTTGACTGACATGTGATTACGGTAAAGTCGACTGACAAAATATCATTGAATTTAAATGTCTTATATTGTTTTACATTTTGCAACTAAGCTTTAAGTTAATTTAATTGTTTAGTTATCAGTCTCGAGTCGTCGGAAGCACTGCTCATATTTATTTTTATAAATTTAGAGTTAAAAAAATGGAGTTGCACTTCCGGTGTCTAGCTGCTCTCCAGAAAGAACTTTTTCCAAATTAAAACTTGTCAAAACACTATTAAGAAGTACGATGGGCGAAACAAGATTAGAAGATTTACCACGCATAAGTTGTGAATCGGATATTCAAATAGATAACGAAAAATGTAATTGATGAATTTACTGCAAAAACTGTCATTCTAACTAAACCTTTGAAATATTAGTTTATTTTATAATAATCATTATTCGAATTTTTTTATTATTATTATTATTATTAAAATAATGTGATTATATACCAATATATTACAAGCCAATACGATTATAATTCACAAGAAGAATATAACTTTTTCATTTATTAACAATAGAAATCATCCAATAAAATGTATTTTGAAGAAAACTACAAGACGCAGGTTTTGTTTTTATGTATTTTATTAAATATCGATGAATAATAGGTACCTATTATTATTATTATTATTATCCAATTATTATTATTAATCGAGTTTAAAAATAATTATGTTACTATACTGCAATTTATAAAATTAATATTTAAAAAAAAAACTAAATGAATAAAGTAGTATAGACAATAAAATAAAAAATGTTTAATCTGATAGTTAATAGGTATTTTGAGGGGCATGTGGTTGGTTATACAATTTTAGTCTGTTAGCGTATTTTAAAACGACTTCGGCGCTAACTTATCAATGACCTCGTTCTCATCAAACCAATAATTGCTTAGCAAGTTTAAATGACTAGCTAGAAGAATTTGTTTTTTGTAAGATTTTATAAATCTTCCGAACAGATTAACATAAATTATTATGTATTTATTTTTATTATATATTATTATTTTGTATTATAGTTAATTATTATTTTTTATTATCTTATGTGACTGCTTGTTTGCTGATTGAGTTAATTAACTATTTTCTATTGTTTAGGAACGTTGTGTATAACTCGATTGGGGTCGGTGTTAACTACTTGGTCTTGGTGTCCTCGGTAGGCTTTAAGCCGTTGTTTATACCGTTCGAATAGTACACCACGATCTCGTGATTGTTGGACGAATACTTGCTGTAGTTGTTTTCGATTGGCATGCAAGCTTGCATCTTCGATTGGCCTGCATTAGATGATCTGGGTTCGCCGTCTTTGGTGTACTTGGATTTGTAGAAGTCTGAGAACAGAAGCAAGAACATGACGCCGTGCAGGCCGATCCAGATCATGAAGCTCTTTGGATAGTTGCACTCGACGAACAACAGTTGGAACTGATGGACGAAGATGCACACGAACTGTAACATTTGGAACGAGGTGAGGTACTTCTTCCACCAAATGTATTTGTGGTATTGGGGTCCCATTGCCGACACCATGTAGTAGAAGTACATGAATATGTGCACGAAAGTGTTGAGCAACGCAAAGAAAGTACTATGCCCGCCTGGTGCGAATTTCATTCCCAGCCAAACACTCATGGGCATGCACCCGTGGTGAATGACGTGCAAAGTCGACACCTGTTGATTTTTTTTTCTCAAAATGAAAAACAACGTGTCGAAGAATTCGGTGAACTTGGAAATGTAGTACCACCAGCACGTGCGAGCCATCCGCAATGCCATCGGGTCGTTGGAATAGTCGACAGGTTGGCATTTTAGACTGTACGAACCTCCCCATCCGCTCATTATGTACTCGTAGAATATCCAAGCGCTGAACGCAGCCTGTATGGAGTTGTATACTATGAGTATGGTTCTCATCTGAAACGGTTTTCGGTTCTCCATCAGTCTGGGTCCGAGCACCATGGCGAAGTACACGTAAAACAGGCATACGAACAGCGTTGGGAACGGACTGGATAACATGGGCCAACCGTTCACTCTGGAATCACTCTTGTTGTCCATTATATCATGGTAGTGATCGATAATGTTTAAAACTAGTTGTGCCATTTTGTAGCTTTAGATTAAAGTCCTTCGTTTCGTTGAAAATCGCTAGTCTCGTCTCTTCGAATTCGACAATTGCTGTTGGACTCGATTTTGAAATGGTTTTTAGATCCGACAAGAGATCCTGAAGATGACTTGAAATCCTCGGGATCGGCCTAAGATGACGCTGTTACGGCTACAGGCATGGTCGTGGTCGTCCAAAATTTGCCGGATCCACAGAAGTTCCTTTAAACGGCCAAGTAAAAAAGCGGGGGGTGTGGTGGTGATAGTTTCGGTCGCCGTTCAGGCACGAAAAGTTATGATTTAATGATTAAATTGCATGTAGCCGAACGTTTTAAAAAAAAAACTTCCAAATCAAAGTAAATAAAATTATGAGAGGACCATTTTGCACAAGTTTCAGACACAGTTAATCAGTAGTCTAATAAGTACGTTAAAATTCTTATAATTTAGTAACTATGTGTAAGGAATTAAATTAAAAAAACAAATTCTATACTAATTTTCTAAACATAGTGACCGTTGCTTATATAAATCTTTGTTTATTATTTTTGATTAGTAATGCTATATTTATAACCCTTTTTTTTACAATTTCGTTTAGAACCTTTGGAACTACACAACTAAACCTAAACACTACATGCTGGGTAGGGTATATTTATGTAAACATTTAAATTTTAAAAAAAGATTCATATTAATAAATTAATAATCAATTTCCTATATATAACTAAAGTTGCACAATTTTTTTCTAGATTATTAATCAATTGCCTTTTAAAAATGATCTTCTTCAAAGCATTAATACCATTCTTCGTCATATATCAAATTTTCGACTGGTGACTGGGTGTATTACAAGGCTCATAATTTATCGAACGCTGACAAAGGTTTCTATGCGGGGTTCGCGCAGATATAGCTAGGACCTGTCCGACTGGTGGAACGCTTAAGCTCAGGTGTTTACCTCACTGACCAGCGACCACCCCGGAAACTTCACGTTTCGTGTCTGAAATCGTCTCATCTGGTGGGTAAGGAGGACCTTAACAGGCCTCATTAGCTTACTCATTGCAGAAGATATTGAGACTGCGTCAATTAATATTTTGTGCAATTTTCAGTATGTCTCAACCAATACGACCAAACAACAGCAGCAACCTCCTTTATTCCATGGTGCAGCATCACCTTCGTGGGCAACAGCTGCTGCAGTCGTTTGGGGCGACCATACCCAGCTCGACTTTAACGTCGAACCAAGTACTCACAGCTCCCCAAAGCGAGCTACAGAAGCACCCCGCTTTGTGGGCGGCCTTCACCCGTGGGTGGCAAGCCTGCATGACAAGCGTCCCGGCACCACCTCCACTGATCAATTAGCCGCCAACGCGACCTACGGTACGTCAGCCCACGCCCTACGCTGGCAGGTCCCCGTGGCAACAAACCGCGCCAGGCCACAAGACGTCTCCAACTTTTCGGTAACACCACCCAACTCCGCCGTCCAGAACACTGGAGCTGTGTCCACGGCGAATCAGTCTGCCGGAACTACGACCACGGTCAGCACTGAACTGGACAGCAACACGGTATCGGCGAGATGGAAGAGGATAATCCGTCTCAACGAGTACCGGAAGGCGATGGGGAAGGTGAAGCGGGAAGAAATGAGTCGAATATCCCAGCAACACTGGTTGGAAAAACCGACGCCACTGACCGACCCAGGGAAGACCTCGGCGAAGAGGAAACCAATCCCCACACCGAGGACACATGCCCCGGTAACAACAACGGCAGAGGAGGAAAAGAATGCAGCGATGGACGTCACCGTCGATGGTCAACTTGACCATACGATCGAGGAAATCGATATCTTCCTCCAACCACCGTCAGACACCACCTCCTAACTCTTTTCCTTTCCCTGTCCCCTCCTTCTCAGTTCTACTACGCCCGCCCTTGACCACCAGGTCACCGGTGCGATGCGAGTGCTCTGATGGCCCGCTTGCCTGAAAAGATTTCAGCGATATCACTCGAGGAGATGTGAAAGACAGGGAGGAACAGACACCGATTAAGTTCACCGGTTGGACCGTTTAGTGGGGGAGGGTTGACACGGCCTGCAAGTGCATGTTTCCGTTATTAGCGATTAAATGTGCGCCCGGTCGTGTTATCAACTGTCCACCGTCTCACCGCAGGTGGGAACGATTAACTACTACATCGGCCCGAACCGGCCGTCGGTGTATGAAGAGGTCCGGGGGGTGTCATTTTTACAGCGAAACACGGCGGCGAGGACCACTGTAGGCGATCCGACAATCAGTTATTGATTTAACATTGGTCCGCGATTGCCATCCGCCGCCGTCCCGCGTATCCACGTATTAAATTTCCACATTGTTTTCTAAGTTAATAAGAAAAAACCTTAACCTTTTGATTCGGGTTTTTATATCTACTTCAACCCCCTTTCTACCGTGTCAATGACTAAGACTGGAGTGTACACGTTGTCTACCTGAATGCCTCCAGGACGCCCTCTCAGCCGTTCAGCCTGCCACGCGTCTGGGGTATGTTTAGTAATCAAAGTATAATATAAAAACTGTTAAACTGTTTACTTTTGTTATTTGTATGTAACTTTTACCTAAATTGTACATCGTTTGTAGTAGAGTTGCCGAGGCCTAACGTGCTTCAGTAGTTAGGTAAGCAACATTATTTTTTTTTCTTTCGTACGCCACATTTATAAAATATAAAAACTGGGTTTAAACAGTTTCAAAGAAAGGGAATTTTGAAAAAGCCTATTATTTAATCATTTAAATTAAACATTATTTTAAAATAACTTAAGCCACAATTTTGATTAAATAAAAAAAAAACAACAAATTACACTCACATTATAGGCATTAACAACTAAAATAGCAGCTTTAATTTATAAAAAAAAATAAACAAAAATGCTTAACAATCAATCAGTTGAACAAGACTCGATTGAGTCCGTCCGTTTGCACTCTGACGATGGCCTGGTTTTACAAGTGTCAGTGTAGCCATATATCTGCCGATAACATATTCTTATAGCCCAAATAAATAAACAAGAGAACAAACTGACGCATAAAAAGGAACAAACTGGTTTCGACAACCACAAGTACCAATCAATGTCACCGAAATACGTTTTCTTGTCGTCGTCGGACTCCTCTACGTATTCGTTCTTCCAGTGTCTAATCACGTTTGTCTGGTTCATCATACTGGTGGCGTTCACGCCGTCCGGTAACTCTGTGAACAAGTGATAAAACCCCTTGCTCAGTGTCAGCACTACTAATGATAAAAAGGAAACTAATACTAATGAAATGGGGAAATCAATAATTTCAGGATAACTAATACGAAATGAATGTTACGATAGAAATTTAGTGTACCTAACAACAGTAAAAAATCAGCAGATCATTCGAAATATTTATGATTTAATGTATTTCCTTCAAAGGAAAATGTGTTTAAAGTAAAAATTATTTTTTTTTTATTTATTATATTTTAATTGTTTCAACATAATCTTGTTTTTACAATAAAAGTAAAAATTAATATTTATTAAATATAATTATCGAGAAATGAAAGTTATAGTTCAATAAATATATTTTGCATTAGAGGAACTCAAAAAATCATTCTTGTTTATTGAAAACTATAATAAAAATTGAGTCAAGCCAAAATAACAGGTAAAAGAGACAGAGAAAAAATGTATGTTGTGAGTAATTTAAATCTAGGCGGAAATGGAGAGATGGAGAAACTAAATATATAAATTTTAAAGTATAACATCTGATTTATGAAGTATCAGAGGTTGAATAACCACTAATTCATCATAGACCACTCACTTTCAATAGTTGTCGGAATATATTGCGCGTGTGTGTATTTTATATGTTTCATAAATAACATTTAAGATTAAAATAAGTGGTAATTTTACTGTCAATAATAATTTGAATCATTTTGGAGTAGAGGCTTCAATTATTTACTGGGGTCTTAGAATCCATCAAATAAAACATAAATTAAGAGGGACACGTTCAGTTAAAAGTAAAAAAAATATAGCTTTGAGGTTGGAAAAGAGTTTGTGTATCTTGGATCCTCCCTTAATAACAGTAACAACATGTCGGAAGAGATTAAAAAAATAATTATGGCCGTTTTAATTTAATTATAAACGTTTTAATGAAAAAAATAGTTCTGCCCATCTAGGGTATTTTTACAAGTGGCCTTCATATATACCACATTATGGATAATTTCTAAACAATTACAATAATTCTGCGCGTCTGCCGTACGAATAAAAGTGGTTTTCATAGTGGCCACTAACACATAAAGGTTTTAAAAGACTTCAGTAGTGAAATACAATGTTTATAACATCAATATAACAGCCACATTAAAATTGTAATATAATAAGTGTCGTTATACGCTTTAATCCACGTCCTCGGTGATTATGGTTATAATTTAAATGGCAGTTATATTTAATATAACATATTAGTATGTTATATTAAGTCATAATCATAGTATATATCATATTTAAAAAAGGTAAAAATATTATTTTTAGGCCCAAGTAAAGGAACGCATTAAATGCTTTTATCATGGTTATAATGTTGTATAGCGTCAACTATGTGTGTTGCTATACAACATATGACAGCGGTGTAGGTATATACATACAGTTAAAAACTTTTTTTTTATTCTATAAGTTACTATTTGTTGTATATCAATATGTCTATATGTAATTTAAGTTTAAAAAAAATGATTAAGCATGTATGCTACATATTGCCAACAGAATTTTGACAAAGCAGTAGACAGTAGACACAGTCGAGCATTTTGTCACAGTAAATGAAAAGTAAAGTAAACAAGAATTACAAGTTAATTAAATACTTTTTTATTATGTAGGACTCATATTACAACCTCATTTCAACAAAATTGACACGATATTAGAATACTAATTCGTTTGTAGCCAATAGTAAAAATACATGCACCTATTACTCTATATTGACATTTTCATGACTTAGCTCTGGCACATAACCGAAAAAAGCGTTACCAAAAGAGCGTAACGAAAAAAGCGAAAGGGTTGG